TGTGTCTACCTCGACAAACTATCTGGGGGAAACCAAGGTTAGGTTAGGGACTCCAGGTTGTTGTTTATAGTAAGATTATGTCCTTTTACACGCCGTTTTACGTTGGGTCTTTGACGCCGAGTCCCATGTTAAAATGGAAGACGCTGCTTAAGCACATTATTGTAGACATCGTGGGATGTGCGACGATAGAATTATACTATTGGTATTGATATTAAAATGTAGGGGGTGTACGGAAACTGCTGGTTATTGTGGCCGCAGGCTCTAATTTCCTGCCGTTAACAGAGGGCGTTTAATTAAGAGGTCTATCGCCTCCGCGTCAAGAGATTGCTCTCTATCAGAGCAGGCTTATCGCAGGCCAGAGTATCATCGCCTCTGGCCGCCGATAACACGGCTCTGATTCTCTTCTGTGGCTGCAAGTGAGGCACAAAAACTCAGGGATTGCCGCTGCAAAATTAGTTTGTCGGGCTTCGTTCTCTGCAAATTATGCGCATCAATACTCGTGCAATTTATTCTATATTAACATAATATTCCAGTGGTTTAATTTACTTGCTTGTAACTGCAAGCTGTACAGTACTCAGATCTACCACTTACTTTCATAAGAGGTCGCTGATGTAGCAGGTGTTGTGAGAACAACTACCTAATAGGTGTTATTTGTTACAGTTGTACATAGTATCCCTGGTGCCTAATGTTACAGGTCTACATCGTATCTCAGTGTGATGAAGTAGCAGGTAGGAACATGGTACAGGTATAATCATGTGTTCATTGTTATTATACAAGATTAACTATCATACTGGCGTTATCATACAGGAGATTTTATATAAGGGATCTTATTTGTCAACAAGTACTGCTGCTATTGAGTATCAGGGGTGGGTTTTTATTATAGGTAGTTGGTGCTATTTCGTGCTATGTTATTCGCAATTATGGAGCAGGTCGAGTAATTTATCATGTGCAATTATGAGAAAAGTGCAAAAATTCAGTAGCTGCATATATATGTATCTGCATTTATGTGCAATTGTGCATTTATTTTTATGGTGCAGCATGTATGTAACAGGTGTAAAATACATCATGCGTATGGTGCAGCATGTACGCAACAGGTGTAGGTTACATCATGCGTATGGTGAAGCATGTACGCAACAGGTGTAGGTTACATCATGCGTATGGTGCAGCATGTATGCAACAGGTGTAGGTTGCATCATGCGTATGGTGCAGCATGTCCGCGATAGGTGTAGGTTACATCATGCGTATGGTGCAGCATGTGCCATCGGGTAGCAGGTTTTCCGATGTGGTGCCGCTAATTGCCCGCTAATATTGCCACCGATACTACGCCCTGCGAGCCTCGAGGAGCCGACCCTTAACTGAGCGTTACGTCATATATCTTCTATGCACAAAGTCCGTAATCTATTCCTATATGCCTGGAAAACAACAACCACGCTCCCCACAAAAATACTAACAAACTTACAATTATGACATAGACACGAAAGAGAACATACATCCTTTTTTAAACACTACTATCGGGAACATGTGACTCTTAGAATTCACATGCGAAACACACTTAAATCACAAAAAAATTTCACACACAGCTTATAATAAAAACACAGCACACACGATCACACACACAGAATTATAATAAGCACAATGCACCTCATTTCTTCAGGGCCCACGGTTCCGCTGAAGGGCCGCCCTTGTCGTCCGCCGTTCCCTAGGCATCGCCCCCACCGAGGCCCTGGAGTTAGCGTACAACGCAGAGCAGCCAATTAGGAAATTTTTCATCTGAGTAATAGGTTTTTAATTTCCCCCATTCCCCTCCGGGTCCAGGACTGGGCGAATTTTCAATTTAAGTTGTAGTCTCTACCACCACCAAATGATGGTTGGACAAACGAAGTCTCATCAATCCAAGCGTCAACTCATTCTAGAAACTCGATGATAAACAGGTTTGGGATCTTACGATATTTGTTTACTAAGCAGATGTTCCCCAATAAACATCAGTAGATAGTTCTTGACTTCTAGCTTCCTAACATCTAGCTTCTTTTCTAGCTCCTTGTCATTTAGCTTCTCGTCTTTTAGCTTCTTGACTTCTAACTTCCTGACTTCTAGTTCACACCCTCAAAACAGTTTGTGTATGAACAGTCTGTATTTGGGTCCTATAACTATAATATGTACCTTATTTCTACCGTCTTTTTGGTCTTCGCGGTGATGAATTAAGTCGTCTAATGAAACTTATCCATCTAGGAACTTCTTTCTTGTATGCGACTCCGTTAGTGTCACTATAAATAAACTACCTTCGTCTGCCGCCTCTGCCAATAAAATACCGGAGTTTCTAGTAGCAACGAAACCGCTGTGCCCATATTTTTGGGTTAGCAGCTAGAGTTATATCAGCTCGACCTGCCTAAGTAAGTCCATAAGCCCTAGGGCTGACCTCTTGCCCGCAGTGTTTCTCTGTCTCTTACGTATGATGCACTCAGTGGGGCAGCAACGCCTGCAAGGTCGATCCTATTTTATTGGCTGGTGTCCCTCGAGAGATTAACCCTCTACCGCCTGACATTGTTAACTGGAGTAATGTTGTCACAAATCTACTTCCCAAAAAGGATACTTTCTAGTGAGCACAAAATGACTTGCACTGATGGTTGCCGCCACTTACAACAACTTTAAAATGTTCTCTGTTGCATACAAACGTCCTCAGGTTGCTACACTCAATAGTTTATGTATAATTTATGATGAAAGTTGTTCCCGACGTATTGACATACGGCGGCAGAGGGTTAAGACCGTGACTTGAGGCTCTGGCGAAGACTTCACTATTCGATGGTTCATGTACGATCGATCACACAGCTGCCCACATACATGACTCACGCAACACATGCTCAGTGCCTACAGAGCATAACCTTGCAGAATATGCTGTGCACATGCGAGAGACACGCGGCACACCCTTAACACCCACGCTCACGCCGTCGCCATGACAACGCCGATGCCCGCACCTTGCGTTTGCGTTAAAGAGAATTGCCTCGGCCGTCCAGCCTGCGTCCACTTAGTTTCGTCTGTGCTCAGAGTTGTTTTAAATAGAATATCATCTTATTGTAGAATATCATCGATGCGCCAAACTATGTTTTATTTGAAGTAAAAAGTAAACCCGGAAAATAAAGTTTTAAGACGTAGATGCAATTCATTTAAACTGAGCACTTAAAATAATTATTCAATACAAGTGTGTTCCTTCTGACTCACTTGCGTCCGTGCCCACAGAACCCTGAGTAATTCACGATTGACCCTATTTTCCTAGTTTATTTGTTTTCTTTAAGAGAAGGTGGAGTCGCGCGATTCATGTGCATCGAGGATGGCTCAAGCCCAGACAATGAAGACGTATAAATGATTGTTTCAGACTCCATTATTGCCGCAGCTCGGCAGTGGAAGTCTTGCCAATTTGCTTGAGTGCTCAGCGTCTCCAGGGGGCAGCTATACGGGCGTCGTTAGCGCAAGTCAAGGAGATTGAGAATGTCGCGCCCATGAAAATGGCGTACGTGGCAACAAAGTTTAAATTGTATGGATTACTGTAAGAAGATTTGATAATACACTCACAATAAAAATATAAGGGCTACTGTCTGAAGATTGCAGTCTCACGTCACTAGAATAGTCTACGGATTATTGTTTTCATATTTGAATATCAATTTGCTAAAAGTCTGCGGATTGTTTAACAAACATTTGAGTATCTCATCCCAGTCGA